ATTTTTGCAACTTTAACTTAGACGTTATAAGCACGTGGCTAAGTCGCGTGACATGAAATATATGCAAGAGCTTTTGATGAATGAATGTGAGGATGCCACAAAATGTACAAAGCAAATAGATGGACACAAATCCAACTATGAAAACTGTTCAAAATGAGAAAAATGTGCGTTTATCTTAAGTAACTAACCCTTTCTGAATAAACAACGCACCTGCCAAAAATATTTTTAGAAAAATAATGCATCTCTCTGTTGTTGTTTGTGTTGATGCATTATCATCATAACGTTATGTTAATCCACATCGATCGAGAAGATTACTGAATGCATTTAAAACTCTTTGAGAAATACATTTTGCGTTTTACTCACGAAAGCACTGTGATCGAGTGTACATAATTGAACTAAATACAAGTGGGTTGCATCAAGTTTACGTGTAATTAAACCAAACGAAATTTAATTTATGTTTGAGATGATATGACGGTTAACCTCAGGGAAGAATTTGTTTTACAATTAACAACGAAAGATGCTGAGAAACCTTACTTGTTTATGTCTAAAGTTTGATGCCAATGATATTAAATATATATAACGCTACTTAGAACGTGTTCATCAATTCATTTCATTCTATCACCAAGTATTAATTTTCAATGGCGTCAATCCAGGCTACCTACATGTACGCTCTGCGTACCTATTTTTTTAAGAAATTATGGTTTATTGATAGTAACGTTTCGTCTTTACACAAGACATTATCAGACTTGTAGTTGAAATGATCAAGGTGTGCGTTTATATATATACGGAGATTTACATATTTGGAGTGTAGTTATGAGTGTTAGATTACAGTGAGATAGGTGTGATGAACATGAATAAATATATACATGTATAAAAAAAATATATATATAAAGTATTGAGTATGAGTGAAGATACAAATATAGAGTGTGAAATGAACACAAAACGTAGTGGGATACTTAAAAAAGTTCAAGTGGGATAAAACTGCCTTGGACATTCAAAGAAAGTGTTAGAAATTACAGATCAGGAGGCTTCATGGAGTGTAAATTGAAGAAGAGATGATAGCTTGAGTAGATGTTGAAAATATGGTGGGTAACTTCATCTACCTAAAGAACGTCTCCGACAGAGAAAATACGAGCACATTAAAACAACACCAACGCAACCAAGACAGAAAACTCTTTCATCTCTGCGTTTACACTCACACCCCGAAATCACTGGACTCCAAAGCTGTGGTATTTAACTTCTCAACTGAATATTAACAGAAAAAGAAATTCTCTCCGAAGGTTTAAACTTCCTATATACATAAGAATAAAATTGACTGTCTCAACGACCTGAAAAATGACACCAACATAGTCATCATGAAGCCCAACAAAGAAAACGACAGAGCAATCCTCAATAAAGAAGACTACACAAAGAAAATGGATGGTATTCTTTCAGACAGAACTAAATTCGAATTTAACGAATATCCCATTAAAATCACTCTACAACTTGAAAGCAAAATGAAATTGCTGTTAAAAACACTGTTATCGTCAAACGCCATAAACAAAAACACGTATAAGGAAGTATATCCCACTGGATCCCGAATAGGTATTCTATACGGACTGTCAAAAATTTCTTAAATCGACCATACCCCTCAGACACATACTCCTACCATCATCATTATTCATAAAACATCGCTAAATTCTTTGTCCCAATGATCCTCCACCACTCACAACCAGTACTCTCATCATCAAAGACTCTGTCATTCGTTCAAGAACTCTTAAACAGCAACAGCAATTCAAGCAGTGTTTTTATGGCAAGCTTTGACGTAAAGTCACTCTTTACTAACATACCTGTGGACGAAACAATCGATCTCATTCTTAACAACCCATTCTCTAACACGTCCTCAATCAACAATTTTTCACGTTCCCAACAACATAACCTACTCACATTAGCTGTAAAAAAACTGTCATTTCATCTTTGACGGCCAAGTCTACCAACAAGTTGACGGGTGTTGCAATGGGTAGCCGGTTAGGAGCACTTTTTGCCAACATCTTTATGTCACATCACAAACAGAAATGGCTAAATAACTGCCTTCCATCTTTCAAACCACTCCTATACAGACGTTGCGTTGATGACTGCTTTCTTCTTTTTCATTCCCCTGATCACATACCTCTGTTCCTCAATTTTCTCAACCAACAACATCCTAGCATAACTTTCACTTCTGAAACCGAACAAAATAATAAACTCCCGTTTCTGGACATTGATATCACACGTTCTGACAAAGTCATCTTGATCACTATTCATCTTGATCCCTTCCTCAACCATAAATGGGCAATTAATGCTCAATTCTCAACAGATGCCTGCCCAAAACATTATCCCTCTTCCTCCTTGATGTCTTCTTAGCCTGAATGGATTCTCCAAACCATGACCAATCCATCCTCTGCTAAATCCATCTGGACCATCTAGTGTTGCTTATTTCCCTTGAAGTTATCTTTCGTTTCCTGCATTTGACCTCCTCTTCCTTTTTGCATTGATATTATGAACAATTTATTTTTATAGCTCTGTGGTCTTGTTTTAACCTTTGTGCAATGCCCACAGTTTCATCTTTAGCAGCTAACATTTTACAATTTCTGCTTTCTCATTTTGACTTCTAGAAGGAATTCTACACATTTTGTTCCGTATTCCTTCCCAAAATTGCATTTCAACCAATATATTAACCTGCATAAGCAAATTTACATCATTTGCATAATATCTTTACCCAGTACATTATGTAAACTTCAATTACAAAACAGGGAACAAATTTTACATTTTAAAATTTTGTATCTATATTCACTATTGAGTCATACTCCTATGTTACACGTGTCACATTTGCACAAGTTTTTATTTTGAAATAACGCTAGGCAAACCAGCTTGCATAATATCGTTACACGCACTGTAGAAATGATTAGAAAACTCATTGATTCAAATGGTTTCCCGTCTCAACCTATTTAAACACCGTTTTGTCGCTTCCTCGACACGTCTTTCCCCCCAAACGCGCAAGGATGAAAAAGTTTTCTGTCTTGGTTGCGTTGGTGTTGTTTTAATTTGTTCTTATTTTCTGTCGGAGATGTTCTTTGGTGGATGAAGTTATTCATCTTACTTTCAACATTTACTCAAGCTACGAAAACTTTTACAATCAATTAGAAATGGTTAGAAAACTCTTTGAGTTAAATGGTTTCCCCTCTCAACTTTTTGACAACAATGTTCGTCAATTCTTGACAACGTCTTTCCCCCCAATCCACCTATTATCACCGTGCCCAAGAAGCTTATCTATTTCTGCCTTCTCTACACAGGCTCACATTCTCTCCAAATATGCACCCAACTTAACCGCATTTGCAACGCCGCTTTCCCTCACATAAGCATTAGGTTTGTTTTCCTCCTTCTACACGCATTTCCTCCAGCTTTCTTTTCAAGGACAAGATTCCTAAGTTCCTGAGGTCCGGTTTTGTTTAATCTCTTTAGTGTCGACGCTATAACGCGTCGTCCGTGGGTCAAACCCAGAGGCGCAACTAGAACGTTAATTGGGTGCATATTTATATATTCAGTTGTGCCCTACTGATTTCTTTTTGAAAGTGATTTGAATTTCTATAAGCTCTATCCAGCATCTTATTCCACATCAACACATCAGGTCACACAGCTTCCTCTGACGACTTTACTATCATCACTTCTTCACAATACACCCCTGACTTAATGATGCAAGAAAGCCTCCTGATCTCTAATCTAACATCTTCTTTGAATGTCCAAGGCAATTCTATCTCACTCAAACTGTTAATATGTCAATCTCTGTATAAATATAAACGCACATCAAACTTTAGACATAAACAAGTAAGTTTTCTCAGCATCTTTCGTTGTTAATTGTAAAACATATTCTTCCCTAAGGTTAACCGTCATGTCATCTCAAACATGAATTAAATTTCGTTTGGTCTAACAATACGTAAACATGATGCAACCCACTTGTATTTAGTTTAATTATATACATTCGATCACAGTGCTTTCGTGAGTAAAACGCAAAATGTATTTCTCAAATGCATTTGTTTGGCAGTTGTTTTCTAATACAAATCCCAAATTTCACACCAGGCAAATGTCTCGCTATGATCTTACAGGTATTTTATTTTTGACAATGTATATCTACCTCCCGCAAAGAATTAGCTCAGTTGTAACATTAATCTAGAACAACAAGATATCTTACAGAAATTTTATTTTTGACAAAGTAGCTCTTCTTTGACTAAGAAATTTACCCAGTTGTAACATGAATGCAGAAAAGGGCTCTCAAAATATTTTTTATTTTGACAACCCATCTAGCTACAGTGTTGGGATTTGCTCATTTGTAACATTGAGACGAAACGTTACTATCAATAAACTATAATTTCTTTAAAAAAATGGCTTTAATTCGAATTCTATGTTGGGCAATTGTTTTTTAATACAAATCCCAAATTTCCCACCAGGCAAATCCCTCGCTATGATCTTACAGGTCTTTTATTTTTGACAAGGTATATCTATCTCCCGCAAAGAATTAGCTCAGTTGTAACATTAATCTAGAACAACAAGTTATCTTACAGAAATTTTATTTTTGACAAAGTAGCTCCATAAGAATTTTACCCAGTTGTAACATGAATGCAGAAAAGGGCTCTCAAAATATTTTTTATTTTGACAACCCATCTAGCTACAGTGTTTGGATTTGCTCATTTGTAACATTAATCCGGAATAACAAGTGATCTCAAAGGTATTTAGACAACGCATTTTGATCTCGTACGGAATTTTCTCAGTTGTATCATCAAAAACTTTTTGAATGCTATGTGCATTATTTAAAAAGACAAATCTTAAAAGTTTTTATAACTGATGATGCAACTACCCCGAAAGAATTCGCTAAGTTGTAGTTCGTCTTTACTGAACAACCAAAAGAGTGTCAACTACATCAAACGATCGACAGATTTAGTTTTTAAGCAAGACATCTACTCATAAAATGTAAAGTTTTGCGAATAGAAATTTCACTTGATGCTTTAATGATTTGTCTTGTTAACATTACAACGCACGTCGTTGTATTTTGAAACAGTTCTTAAAAGTGAACTTTGCTTTTGCGCATGAGTCAGATACTTTTTCACCTAGAAGCACTATTAAGGTTACCGTGTCTACCTTGTGCTGCATAATGAAAGTTTATAATCATTAATGATGGCCATCTTCTTATGGTTTTCACTCCTGACATAACACTTTCATCATCGTTCCTTTGATTGTCGATGAGTGCATTTTGTTGCAATTTATGGCTATTCATTAACAACTTTAAGAAGTATTTGCTGTTCTGTTTCGTTCATATTTGTAAAGCAACTACTCCATAACTCTGGCGACATCTGTTTTAAAAGACGAATTGAATTTTATCGTAAATCGAAGTAAGATGGCCCATTACATAAGATTATTTTAAAGAAAAAACAAAATACATAGCAATTGTTTGAAAACTAAAACCTATAATTAACACATAATATTGTCCTTCGTTCGCTATGTATAGCGAAATTTCTTTACTTTTCATTAGCAACGGCCATCCTCAATCGTACAAAATCATTGTTTTTAGTTTGACTAACCTGGGCTTGTTTTAAGATAAGTTTCATTCGATATTTGATTTCCACATCATTGGCAAGTACATCAGACTCAAATGCCGCAGCAAATATTCTGAGAACACACACAAAATTACTGTAATTTTCACCAAGGACGATGGGATGGTTGCTAAACAGAAAAAAATTGTACGTAAAATTTTATGTAAAGCAAGTATGATGTGAAGTTAAAAACAAAAGCTTGATGATTCCTTAGCACTCCTGAAGACCAAATTTTAGGAGAAAAAGAAAATCTCAAATAAACACATTTGAAAAAAGAAGTATTAATAGAAGATATTATAACAAATATTCATCATCGTTATGTACCTCATCAATATCTTAGAATGAAGTCGTCAATAAAAACATCATTTATATCTACGTACTTACCTCTGTATCAAATCACATAGATATCCATAAACATGTGGAGCCTCTTCTTTATCTTCGACAATTGGTAACCACGACAACCAAATAGGAATGATTTCATCGACAGCAACATTACCATGGTTATATTTACAGATTTTCGTCACGGCTGAAATGGCATTTTCTGTGGCGTCTATATTTTCAGGTAATTTAGCCTTTGGATCATTGACAACCTCGTAAAGAAGTGGAAGTGCCTCTGAAAAAGTATTAAAACAGGTGATTTTATTTTCCTAGAAATGATGTTTCAATTTCACAAGGTACAATTTGATTTTCTACACGAACATAACGCGATGAGTCAATGTAAATGCAAATTAAAATAGTGCTTGGAGTAAGTACTTTTATCAATTGAAAATTGGCAATTACTTTTAAAATAAAATTCAATTGACCTTGCATTAGTACATATAACAAATGTAAAAGTGGAATTTTTTGAACACATCAACTTACCTAAAAAAGTCGGAGAGTAGTTTTTACCACCAAATTGAGCCATAACGCCAATACCATAAGCAGCAGCCTGTAATAATGAAATATTTCACAATGTTTTGATAAAAATTATGATACACACATACGTATGTTGAGATATTTCTCAACCTGTAATTATTTCAATGTATTTTTTCACAACAATTATTCGTCTAATATCTATGTGTGTTTACATGTCATTTCTACATATTAATCTAATTAAACTCAAATTTGAAACGCAATATGCGTAAAATGGGGTAGTTAAAAACTTGACAAAACCATACCTGTCGTACATCAGTAGTTCGATGAACAATAGAGTCAAGCATTTGTCGTAGAAAATAATCTTTGTATTTAAAGGAAACCTAAAATGAATTGAAATGCATAGTACACAAAGTCCATTAAACAAACGCATATGTTCGTATAAAATGTAGAAATGATTTCAAATAGTTACCGGTCCAGTATGTTCAATGAGATCATCAAAAATACACAAAGACCATTGTCTATCTGTGGCCGAATTTGAATGCTATGTGAAAATATGTGTGATATGTCAATAATCAATACCACTATGGCACACACTTGAAACATTCATAATAACGAAGGCCTTAGCACTACAGCAGGGAACAGTTATTAAAGTGGTGATCATAAATTCATTATTGTTTAAAATTTCGTTTACAATTCGACCAAGAACAATAATAATATAAATATATGTAAATAATAAAAATGATTTACTTACAAGCAATGCATAGAAATCATTAATCAATTTCTCAAATAACGGCAAAGTATCCTCTTTATGACATCCAAATATTGAGTGCATTATATCTGACACCTTAAGATGAAAGAACGGGTTGATTAGATGTTCGTCTTTACAAAATCCCATGATTTTTTCCTTATAGTCTGTACCTTCATATACGTTTGTATCATTACTTACCTTTCGTAGAATAAGCTCGTATGTAAGATCCTGTATAAATATAATAACATGGATAAATAAAGTATCGAATGATAGTCTTGTTTTAAGTTGAAACATTTGCTCTATTGATACGTTTGCACTCACCTCATCCCTAAGGTCTTCTTCAACTTCCTCATCGTAATCTTCGTCCTTCCTTCTCTCTATAATATGTACATTCAACAAAGAATGACCAAATGTTATCATAAAAGACTAACGGATTTGCAAAGAAATGTAACCCACCCCCCCACACACACAAATAAAATGGGTAATGGAAAGGTAATTACCTATTCGTTCATCGTGTCGTTTTCTGTGCTCAACTAAAAGGTCGTGTATGACTTTGGAGAGTTTTTCAAAGAATATGTCAGAAACAAATTTATTGCCCAACGTTTCGATGCACTATAAGGAAATAATTATATTCTTGCAAAATATTCGCTGACATTCAGAAACTGCAATGAGCATCGCAATCTACATACACGTGCACAAGATTCCATTAATAAAACTTTAACTTCAGGCTCGGGTTCGGTCGATACAGCTTTCAATAATTCGCTCCATAAATAGCCCCACATTTGACGAACATAGCCATCACCTAACCAAGGAAATGCATTGTCAAATATATCATGTGTATAAGACATATTGGAGGGCAAGCTATAACTATTGCCTAAAAGAATAACCGCATGTAATTTAAATCAAACTTATGTTTATAAATAACAAGCATAACTAACAAAATCAAATCTTTCAGTTTACCTTTGATTTTAACACATTCCAGCAACAAAGGCAAGCTATCAGCAGCTGCAGAACGCACGAGTAAAATAAATCAAGGATTATAAGAAGGAATATTCATATGAACAAAGTTTCACTAGTGCCGCCTCATTTTTGGTTTATCTAAAGTTCTGTATGTTTATACGAAATTTATGTTATGGGTTCATATCGAAGAATTCAAGTCTAAAAGTAAGTTTTTTAAAAGGATATCATCATTAAAGTAGAATTTCAACAAAGGCACCATTATTTTGACGACCTGAAAAACACATTACAGTTACACAGTATGTTGACAACATAAAACAAAATGAACATCGTTAAATCATTATCAACTTTTACAATAGTGTACTAACCTCTTCAGCATAGTCAGCAAAGTCAGATTTCAACTCTCGAGCATAACAAACTAACATTTGACATGCCGTACTTTTATCTTCTAAGCCAGCAGTTCTTATACCAAATCTTTGCTAATTAAAAAAGATCACCATTGAATTGGACATTATTAAAAAACATAAAACAGAACTTATTTCCCCCCATACTTTTCTCGGAGAACACGACGGCAAATGAAATTGCAACAATTAAAAAGACAGTGATTTTATGGTACATTAAAAATATCGAAAAGAAATAAACCAGCTCATCAGTGAGTATAACAAACACTTATTAAATACCTGATCACCCAGGGATACAAATTCCCAACCCTCCTTTTCGGAATAAGTTTCATTCTTTGGGTCATCAGCTGTATTGTTCAAAAAATATTAAGGAGAAAATATATCAAAGAATATAAAAATACTTCGTCGATATTTTTTTCTTAATATCAAAAAATTCAATTAACGATACTCACCATCGAGAAGGGCAACCTCGGGTTTTATAGATGCTACCTTCAGTACAGGTGGCATAACCATTGGAAGATATTCCGTGAAACGCTTTCCTAGAATCTTGCACATTCGTGCCCAAGCTGATATTAAATACGAGAGCTACAGTAGAAAAAAGAGATTGTTGATAACTAGCTAAATCAGATATCGTTCATGCATAGAAACTCTTAGAAAAAATTTCATAGTAGATTTTAAGGAGTATATATGACTATAGTAGATTTTAAGGAGTAAATATGATTATAGTAGATTTTAAGGAGTATATATGACTATAGTAGATTTTAAGGAGTAAATATGACTATAGTAGATTTTAAGGAGTATATATGACTAACGTAGATACCTGAGGATCGTCTGGTTCGATATTTTCCATTTCCGTCTGAGTTTTTAATAACAGTTGCATAACGTCGTTACAGTCTTGTAAAAACTAAAAAATGCGAATGGTCTATTATCACAAAAGATATGTAACGTACATGCATACATGAAGTATCGTCGAAATTCAAGTATAGTTTAAAAATTTTCAAACGCCATTTGTACGTAAATTTGTTTAAAAGCTTTTACCTTATCATGACCAACTGCTAAACCAATCAAACTAATACATTCAATGGTCTTTCCACGTAAGAGGCGTAGATCTTTTGATACAGCGTTCTCCACAACATATTTTAAAGTGGGCATAAAACGATCATAAAAAGTTAAAAATTTCTCTTCAGCAGTATCAGCAACAGTTGCCAGTGTCGTAATGATTTGCTCAAGAACCAATTTTTTGCCATTTTTTATCAACTATAAAATAAATTTGCAGACTTTTTAATATTCGCGACCCAATGCATAGATAAGTTTAATGCAAGCACCATGTAACTTACGTCTTGTAGTCTCGCTTGCAAAACAATATCTACTTTTTGTAAAATTCTTTCAAGGTAAAGCAACATGATATGCTTCGGACATTCTTCACAGAAATTAACAAGAGCTGCTCCGGCATGAGCCTGGACACGAGGGTTTTCTGCATCATCCAAAACATGAATAAGACCAGGTAAGACCTAAGAATTAAAGAATTTACAAGATTTCATTAAACAGATGTAATGTACAACATACATCATATAATATTTTCTTTCGTAGAATTAAATGCAATTTGACGCTACGCATATCAAAACTGCTCTCATAGATTGCTCAAACAAAGTCCGTAATTGACAATTGCGAAGGATCTATTAATACTTAGTAATGCTTGCTTTTCGTTATTTCTAGGCAAGAGCAAGCATACATCTATACATCAATTCAGCATGTATGCAGACATGAAACAAAATACTTTATCATTATGTCTGACCTTTGAATGAAACTTTTGTTGAAAATTTTCAGCAAAATCAGTTGACAGCTGACCAAGAGCATTGCAGGCGGCATATCTCACGCGAGGATGGGCATCGTTTAAGAAAGGTATTATATTATCAACTAAACTGGCCAACATATTCAACATTTGTTTATGACAGCCTTCTCCAACAGCAGATATTGCCATTAAGCCCGCATGACGATACCTCCAATCATCTAAAATGATGAAAAAACTTATTTGTGCTTAACCCGCTGTGGAAATTGACAAACTAATAAATTCCAATGGGCTTATTAAAAACGCTGGTCATAGCAAGATGTAATAAAAACTCGTACCCATTTTTGCATTTTATTACTCACCATTCTGCAGCATCTGAGGGACTGTAGCTATAATATGAGGTAAAATATGTTTGCCTCCAATGCCACAAGCAAATCGATCCAAGGCACTTTCGCCAGCCACAGCATTACTTAAGATATAGATAAAATACAGTATGACAATAGCAATTGACATTAAAACAATATGAATTTTAGTTTACAACATGAAGTAATTTAATAAATGTTCTCATGCGCTAATAAAAACACGTGACATTGTAGAAATGACATCATACAATTAATGAGATAATGAAGTCATAGAGCTATTATTAACTGCTAATACCTGTCGCAATCCTCATCATCTGCATCATCGGATGCATTCCATTCCGGATCATCTTCAATATCAACCATCATTGCTAACACCTGGGGAACTAGACATTCGGGGAAGAATACATTTATGTAACAAAAAAATATTTCATCCTTCACATTAAAGTAGAAAGGAAATTAAACAAAACTACTACTGTACCAATAAGTGGAAAAAATTTTTGATATTTTCGTAGCATAGCAGAAGCTAAAAATGAAAAATGAATTAAATCTTAAACATTCTCAATTATTTTTAAAATATTTAGCTAATGTACATGCATGTTTCAAACAAAATTGTTGCTGACTGTCCCATGTAGAGATGTATGTGTGCTGAGATGTTTGTATGCTGAGATGTACATATGTAGAGTTGTACATGTGTAGAGATGTATGTATGTAAGTATGTAGAGATGTACCTATGTATGTAGAGTTGTATATAAGAGATATATGTATGCTGAGATGTATGCATGTTGAGATGTATGTATATATGTAGATACATATGTAGAGATGTACATAGAAGTACATGTAGAGATGTGTGTGTATGTATGTATGTAGAGATGCATGTATTTACCTGATTCTGAAAGTGTAATTATACATTCTAATGAAAGTTGACGAATATTGTCATCATAATCTGTGTTTGACACGGTCTAAAAAGAAAAATTCATTTCATTCATAAATTGTACTTAACCAAAAGCACAAAATGGCAACCACAGTTCTTTGAATGTTGTTTTAATTACCCGTAACATCAAATTTAAAAGTACTTCTAAACTACTTCTTAAAACTTTTGGTGCTTTCTCAGCAAGATCAACGACACTTTTTAACACATTATCATCTTGCTCTTGAATACTATCTTCTAAAGCCTAAACAAATCAATAAAGTTAAAAGTGCAAAAACTTTACAAAAAAATACATCACATTGCTGAACTGCTAAAATTCACTGTTTAAAATGGCCAAACATAGAAGATTGTTTGGACATTGAAAGACAGTCTATTGCTTGTTTTTTTCAATAATTCATCATAGGAAACGAAATATTCCAATGCTTGTGGTTGGAGAAAAGATAGTTTACTCTCTGATGATGAGGAAACGATGTTCCACTATCAAGATTTACATCAACTTTCAGGTTAAAGTATTAAGTGTACCTGCATGACTCCAGGTACAATGTCAACAAATTGCTTTTGTTGCTGTTCAAGAACTTGATCAACCAGGAATGCAACAGCAGCTCGAGCCGCAATAAAGCGAACCTTAAGAAATAAACAAAAATGAAAAAAAATTAACAACAAAGCCATACTGTTAAATGAATACAGGGTAGAGAGTGCAGATTGCAATGAACAGAACATCTGCACAGTTTTGCAAAACACAAAACACTTTGGGTAGTAAATGTGAAAAGGCGAAGTCCAAATTGTGAAAATATGACAATAATATAAAATAGTTCATATTCATTTGACAATGTTTTGACTATACCAGCATATTATTATCAAGTAGAAACAGCAGCAACAAACTTGCAACAGTTAGAAAACACTTGCAAGTGCAACAATTTCATAATGCAGACCTGAGCACTAGATTGATCTTGAACAGTTAGGAAACATGTGCAACAATTTAATAATACAGACCTGAGTGCTAGATTGATCTTGAACAGTTAGGAAACATGTGCAACAATTTAATAATACAGACCTGAGTGCTAGATTGATCTTGCATAGACTGCCACAACATCCCTTTGATCACTTGAAGATAATGATCTTGTTGGTTGCCAAATATTCCAGGAAATGATCTAAAACAATTCAGATCAAACTTAACACTTGCAAAAAAATAAATATGACACAATACAAAAAATCGATAGAATAATACTACATGGTAAATTCAGAGAATGTTAGCTCTACAATGTAATAAATAATTACTCACAGTAGAATTCGAAGAGAACATTCTCAGAATTTTGATCTTGTGAGTTGCAACATTCATGTAAAAATTTAAGCAATTCCTGCCAATGATTATAGCCCTCTTCGTCTAAAACCAACAATAATAACAATTTTTAAAGTATATTAAGACACATTGTTGATTTATTTATCAAATTCTTCGATGAATGAATTAGAAATACTCTCTCTCGCTCTCTTTTATTGTACTACAGGACAAATATGAATCCTTAGATTGCAAAATTTTCCATCAATTAAGCTTTTAGTTGACCTCAAAAATGTTTTATCATACCAGTGAAATTCATTACTTTGACCAACATCACAGCAAGGTGTACATATTTTTATTTTTTATATTTACCAAGTAAACAACGGGCTAACTCTGAGACAGCGATATTTTCCTCTTTACTGTAACAATAGGTTCTTCCTGTATTCCCATCAAAAGTTCTTGTTTTAAAGATTCTTTCAGGTCTGGACCAAGATTTTCATAAAGGTCAACAGTGGATAAGAATAATCTCGAATTAATATTATGGACATCTGTCTCACCTAGAAATATTGCAATCAAATAAAGTATAACAATAAAATATGGCAAAGCATATCCTGAAATAATGCCTGTAATCTATCAAAACTTTTAAACACACTGAAACAAACTTCTATAGCATTACCTCATCAAGACCAGACATTCTTAGGGTTTTATCAAGAAGTCAATCTTTTAGGATCAGGGACTTGAGCATACTGTGTCTGAAAAAATTTAAAATTCTTTAGAGGAAATACTGTTCAAACATAATAACAAGAAATAAATAATTACACTGTTAAAGTCAGTTCCATAATGTCAATTGCAAGAAAATGTAGTGTAAGTGATAGGGGAAGAATGTAGTTAAATTCCAACTCCCCACAACCCCTCCCCTTTACATTAAAAAACTTAAACTTAAACAATTGCCTCGTAAGTTAAAAAAAAATCCAATCTAGTAACACACCAAGAAAATTTGTTTACAAAGTGAATTGTAGTCTAATCTTTCTTCAAGCCAGATGTCAATTGACAAACGTATCTGACAACATTTGTACACAACGAATTTAAATATAAATTCCCAACTTTGCCACACACACGTTGAAAATATATATTAGGAATTATGATAACTAGTAAGTGTATGGGATCGTATAGTGGTAAATAGCAAATGGTGTCAAATAAAACATGTTGTGGTGGACGTAATCTCGTTGATGTAAAAAAAAAAATATTAGGAAAATATTGATTCATAACCAGAATTTTCATCTAATCTAGTAAAAACATTGGGTTTACAACACGATTTTGTGTGTACAGAAAACGAAAGAGCTAAACTCAATGAAGTCTTGATAAAATTTAACGTATATAAAATATCTAGTGCAATACAATTCCAAAACGATAGCCGTCAATAATGTCAAAAAAACATATATAATATAACAAAGACTACCTCAGCTTGCTGTCGGTTAAGATTATCTTGAGACATCAACTGAGCAAGAAGCTGCTCAAACCGGGTAAGATCGTCGTTCGCCATGGCTATGGTTGTATGGTTACATGCAAACGACGAGTCGATAAGAGAAGATATCTACGACGCATGTCTGGAGGTTGGCGCCAGGTAAAAAGGGACCCACGTGCTAACGGCGCCAAATGTTAGCACGTTCTCCCCACATACAGCGTAGCTAAAAACAGAATTACATTATCAAATTTCTAAATACATTTTTAATGCAAACCCACATCTTTTTTTTTAATCTAGACGCTGAACAAGAAGATGTGCAAACAACAAATGCTGATCAACAGCAAGACCCTTGCAAGTGTGTAAACAGCTCATGAAGATCAAGTTGCTAAGTACCCTTCAATTGCAACTTGCAAGTCCTAGTTTAAATGCAAACATTATTCCCAAATTGCCGAGTGTGATTTGCAAGAAGTCAAAAACAAAACTAACGAGGTATGAAAGAGACGACGAAAAATGTTTTTCTAGTAAAAATCCGCGCTCGTTTTGATATTTCAAACGAAAACAGTTATGAAGTGAAAAAAATGATTAAAAGTCAATCGCTGTCATCTTATTTTTACTGCCAAATTTTTTCAAATGAGAAATTCAGAATTGTCATTGATAAGTTTTGTTAAATACTTACATTTTAGTGCGCCTCGTTTGAGCCGCACCTAGCTTGCTGCTGCACCTTAAGAGAGATAAACACGAATTGGAAACCAAGCTCACATTCGTAAATTTAAAACGATAGAATAATGGATTTGTTCTTAATGGTCATTTATATTTACAGCTAGACTGTATTTATATTCGATCCCTATTACTGATAACAGTAGTGAAAACTGGAGTCATATTGATGTTCTGCTTTAGGACGATCTGTCGACTTATTACTAACAAAAAATTTTACTTTTTACAAATTGAATTAAAAGTTTTACCGGTGGTAAATCAAAAACACTGTGTGCAATGCGAAGCCTCTCTTCACTGGGGTCAATCTCATCTGTGAAGTTTTCTCCATTAAGCAGGCGACGAGCGTACTAAGTTTTCAACAAACCAAATAAATTTCAGTTTCAATAAGCCAATAAAATATCAATTTCAGGGTAGACTCTGAACAGTTCGACGTATGAGTGGAAAAACAAAAAAGAGTAAAATTAGCTCAAACAGTTTTTTCTAAACTGCCGTCGTAACATCACATCATTGTAATGCTCTTTGCTACTTGTTCATCTATTGTAAACGTTTTATCAAGCTTTATAATTGTACAACAGGAAATTCACATTTCAATCTAAATATTTTGCTGAATTGGCCTTCTTTACATAAAACAAACTTACCCAGCACACGAACACACCACAGCTGTAGCAATCAGATTGGAATATGTGAAGTGGCAAGATTAATTTCCATCCTTTCAAAGAATTTTCTTTATCAATCTTTTGAGCAATATATTACTGTAAAAGAAATTTTATTGAAACGTGTGGAATAGCAAAATCTCATCGTAAAATTGATAAAAATTTAATTCTTCAAATGTTTCCGTGAAGTGTAGTTTTATTAGTACATAGAATCAAACTTCATGGATATAGTTACGTCAAAGATTCTTAGATGAATCTTTAGTTAGTATGCGTGATAAATTTTGATGATAGCAACTTCATAGCAATTTTTAAAGCAGATGCATGAAATAAATTTCATAAAACAAACACACAAAATTAATTTAATTATGTTACCAAAAGTGGCAAATATATGACAACGTAGGGTCCTTTGCTCTTGACATCGGATCGAAATATAGAACTTGTTGTAGGAGAAAATCAATTGCCTTTAAATGAAAAAAAAGGACAAATTAAATACGACACAAATTTGGTGCTACAATTGTGACGAATATCTATTTAAAAGCTCAGAACAACGGCAATGAAGAAGTCTCTTGTTTGTTTTTTTTTTTATTTAATTTTTTTAATGGTATTGTTTTACAACTTGGAAATACTTGATTTCTTACTTCAACACTTACCACAAGTGTCCAATGGGATTCAGACAGATTTAGTGGAAGGATTAGAAAATTTGTCTCAGGAGCAATGAAAGGTAAGTCAAAGGGGATGCCATATTGCAGCATCTGGCCAACAAAAACCTCACAGATGTGACTTGTTCTGATTGCCGTAGAAGAAATGCTCTTAAGATACAGGTTTATGATCTAAAACATGAGATGGATATAGATGTAAGGATGACAACTGGAATGAACAAAAGGTGGGAAATGATGCATATATGTAAGAATGACAATTTAGATGAGTGAGAAATGGATTAATGATGGATATAGATGTAGGAATGACAACTGAATGAACAAAAGGTGGAAAAATGATGCATATACATGTAGGGATAACAACTGAGGTGAACGAAAGATGGACCAATCATGGATGTCATTCAACTTTGTAAACACTTAAAACCCAATTTTAGCAGATTTACATACGTCATCACCGAGCCAACCAGGTTCAAATTTAGGATCAATTAACCGAATGGTTTTCTTGTGCGCCAACAATTCTGGGAAAGATCCATCAACCAGTCCCCACAGAAGATGTGCAGGGAATTTAGTAAAACTCTTGTCGCTGTTAACCTTCTTGATGTGATTGAATAGTTCAAGTTGAGTGGTCAGCGGTCTGAAAGAAAAACGCATTATTTCATTCATAATCCTGTAATGCCATAAAAAATAACGTTTTGATGTAATTGATCGTGATGATATAATAATAATCCATACCTGGTTGCAGAAGCAACCTAGAATTAAGAGAAAGTTTAAAACAGATTAAATCGTGTGCGAGATTGACGTTGAGATTGATCGATCATTAGCATTTGCAAGACAAATTCTTAGACTCGTCGAATATGAAAAGCAATATTCTGCTCGAAATGGATATATTTAAAAAGCCCGTGGTCATGGGTCACTAGTGGCTGTCTATTTCACGCGCAATTTAAGACTTCGGCTACTTACCATTATTCTAACAACTGAAGGAACTTTACACAACTTGGCAGAATCCGACGTGCAGCTTCAATAAAAATAAATACCATGTAAATTTTCCAATTTTTAACATGGTTTAAGAAAAATTTGCAGATTGACGATTTAGAAAAAATCATAAAAATTAAAATAGCTTACCTTTTATTGTATCTTTAAATAATAAATCAAAATAACTACCTTTCAAGCTCATGATCTTCCATTTCAGCATTGCTCTCCTATTTGCAAAGCATAAACGTATTTTCATAAGATGCTTGACATTAAGTGATAAATATATATACATAAATATATATTTGACGTATATGTTGCATATATATTGCTTAAAGATTAATTCAACAGCTTACAATATACATATGGGGTCACGTTAAAACTTACATTGTTACCTTTCGACTGGCCCGATGTTTTTTTCCCGAGAAGGTTCAACCCAGTTTGGTTAAGATATATATGGAAGATGAGTTAAACCTTCTCGAGAAAAATCCTTTTTCTTTTCATTCAATGTTAAAAGTTAGATGATAAATTTGATCGATAAATTCAAAACAACGCATTTCAACGCCACAAAATTTACCTTAACTGTCTCAGATTCCACAAGTTCGTTTCCTTGATTTTCCTCAACCTCAAATAACACAAAATTGCACTCGTTTTTAATAGTTTTTTTTTATGTAGCTACGCTCCTCTTAAAATTATACATACATGCTCATTCTCCACGTCAACCGAAGCCTCAACTACCGTTGCACTTTCGTCAACCTATATAAATCAAGTGGCTAGAATGATTTTCTGTTGGACAAATTTTGACGCCAAGAAAAAAATATTGCTTCGTAAATAGCAATTTTCCAAAGATTCGCTTTTCTTTGTAATACCTTGGAATTGCAAAGTGCTGGCGATTCGATACTCTCATTTTCAACATTCACCTTAACCATCAACAATAAACACAATTTAGTGATCATTTGCCATATTTTTGCTATAGAACTCATGACGTCACACCTTTCTAGTCTCAACTGTATCAAGTGATAACAGTTCAACTTCTCCGTTCTGCTCAACCTATACACAGAAAATTAATGTAACCACAGTCAAACGCAATTTTGCACAATAAATAAAGTTTCTACAAAGATTTTATACCTTTTCAACAGGGACCAACGATTCAGTTACAAGGGCACTCTCCACAGACTAAAACAAAAGATTTTACCGAGTGTACATCACTTATTGAAAAAATTGAATAAAGAAAAATCTAATATAAAAATATAAGTACTTTATTTGCTGTAAATAATGATGGCTTCGATGTAAAACTCTGAAGATTGTCTTCAATCTTAGAAAAAAGCAAAACAGTTTTTAATTTTTTAGTCTTTCATGAACAATACAACTTAGCTGCAGCACTTGATCGATATTTACTTTAACCTTTAATAATAAGTATTATTATACTAATTGATACAAATAATACATATTTTTTGCTATAAAATTCACGATATAAATGTCCCACAAGCAGCATTTTCGCAAATGTTTTAATACCTTCTCAACAGGTGCCAATGATTCAGTTACAAGTGCGCTCTTCACTGACTTTAAAAAACATATTTTACTTATAGTACATCATTCAAGAGAAAATGAAATAAAAGAATTGCATAAAAGTATAAATACTTTATTTGCTTTAGACCATGATGGCTTTGATGAAAAACTCTGAGCATTTTCTTCGATCTTAGAAGAGACCAAAAACAGTTTTTTTAGTTTTTGATTTTTTTTTTAGTTTTTTTTCATGATAAATCAGTACCTGTTCCACAGAAGATTGGCTTTGATCAGAAGCATTATCCTTTTTATAATGAAATGGTACAAGAGAATTTTGAAACTTTTCTTTTAAGATCTTTACTTTAATTTTCTTCGAGATCTATACCTCATTTTTCAATGGACAGTCTTCCAATCCTTCCTCAGCGATACTACTGCTAGAAGAATGAAACAAGAAAACTTGAGAGATCGAAACTTTTAGCAACATGAAAACCAATATCATGTTTGTCGTTGTTTAAAAGACACCGGAAAAACAATTTCTTTGTCTTCTATACAAGGTTCAATTTAAGATATTAAAGTCACAACAACACAAATTTGAAACTACCTAA